TCGGCACTAACTCCCGAGCACTCTGACTTCATTGAACATAATTTAACTCAACATGAACATACTTATCAAAATGACTTAAAAACGTAACCTTTCGCATGATCACTGAACGGGTCGTGGCGAGCGCTCCGTGCGCCGCCGACGGCGATAAGCCGTCTCCCGACCAAAACACCTTTTCCCTCGGCAACTCCAGATCAAATGAACAGGAAACATTATTTTGAGGCAATTAAGACATAAATGCACGGAAGAACATGACCATAACTGAAGGTAACAGAACATGAATTAGTACCGCCCGTGGCCACGCGCGATGGGCGCTGGCGACGGCTTCGGGCTATTTAATACATAAAACAGCATTTTGCCTCGACCAACATGGACTAACTGGGCATGAAATGATCTAAACTGAACAAATAAACATGAATTGTATGAGAGTTGCCGAGTAGAAAAAGAAATTACTCGATCACGATTCAACTTAAGCATATTCGAACTTTAACACGGCAATACTATAACCTCTTGAACATGAGTCGAACACTTCAGCTTAAAATGAACTCATTAACATAAAAATAGGCTGAGAATAGCTATACCTCCTTGAGTGTTCGACGGAACTATAAGCTGATTGTGACCTCCGGTGATCCTCGCGTGCGTGCCGTGCGTATACTCGTCAATTGCCGTGCGTGATGCGATGGAAAACTTAGAGTAATATGTTGGGGATACTTGTTGCTGAGCTTAAGTATAGGACCGTGAACATAAGGGCTGAAAAGTTGGAAAATTTTCGTCTAAACATGCTTATATATACTAAGGCCGAGAGAGATGTGATGATGAAGGAGTTATGTGGCCCTCTTTTATCCTTACACTTGCCAACCATTAAGCTAAATCATGGTGACTAATCTCCCCCTCTTAATGCCACGTATCCATGCCTCAAATAAAAAGGAAAACATTACTTAAGTCTTAGGAAATTTTTGTTGGAAATAGTGACTTATCCACACGGCCTTACTTGCATTTGGCTTTGATTTGGACGGCTTAATGCTTAATCAAAGATTAATTACTATTTAGTCCCTTAAATTATGTTTAATTATTTTAATTAAACATAATAATTAATTACAAAAATTATTCCGAACGTAAACGGTACGTCGAAAATAAATTTCGGTAATCTCGACTGAAAATAATTAA